GGTTAAACGATAAAATGGGGGAAATGTGATTGAAATTCAGACAACGTTTGTCGCATGAAATCGAATACTTTTGTGTTTTGTAGCAAAGAAAAAAAAATTAAAATTGGCTAAGTAAGAAGAAGTTAAAAAGAGTGACATGGATGCGGTAGATCCAGATTGAGACAATTTTTTGGTACACGATTGTCATAGAAAACTGCAACGAAGCAATCGAAATTAGAATGATCCATTTTTGATAATTTTCCTTACGGTTGAATGGCAACTGGTTACAAAATAGAACATCTGCCGGACTCATGTGCCAGTTCGTTTCGCTGTTCGCTAGTAAATGTGTAGCGATTTCTCGCATTGTGAGAAATGTACATGGAAAATGAAGTGAAATAGGCAATCATTTTGGGGAAACATTCGCCTTGCATTGCACCGTTTTTTATATTTCATGTCTATCTGCGTTCAGGAAGAGAAATAAAAGAGAGAAAAGTTGGAAAATCGCAGCAAGAGAGAATAAAACAGAGAGAGAGAGAGAGAGAGAGAGAGAGAGAGAGAGAGAGAGAGGAAGAAATGCAGGGAAAGATTGAGAGAGGAGGAGATTTCTTGTCGAGAAAGAAACGTAATATTTTTAACAAGCGAATCGGAAGAAGAAATCTGGAATAACAGGCACTCGAATGATTCCTTTTTATTTCTCTCTTACAATTCTCTCGTTCGACTTTGGTTTTGGCTTTCTCTCTCTCTCTCTTTCTCTCTCGCCGAGTTGTGTATAGTTGTGATCAATACTGCTGGGTCTAGTTGTTTTTCTTTTATTGATTTCCACGTACACACAGTTAAAAGAGCCCAACTGAAATATGACCGGATCTCATGTAAACGCTAACTTTTCGAAAATTTCAAATTAAATCCAGCAATGAAACCAAAACAGAGACAAGCACAAAAACACAGTCTTTTTTCTATTTCGAAAATTTTCTCTCTCTTCAAATCTTTTGCTTTCATATATCGTGGAAATGAAAACAAAATTAGTTGCTTTCACCCTCGCAAAATCTTTTGCTACCAAAAAAAAAGTCCATGTTTCTCTCTCAGTTCCTGCCAACCGAAATGTGTATCATTCGGCCTGAGCTAGCGAGTTAGTGGAAATAGGAAATGTTGATGATGTGAAACGAACGATGTGCAAATGTGATGCGCTGCACAGAAATGCACAGGAAGGCAGTGCATTTTGTTGTTGTTGTTCATGGCAATTTCACTTCATTTCGCGCATTCGAAGTCAACTGAAAAGGATCTGCCGGTCGCACATTAATGTAGGCATCCGAAATGTTTAGCTTTGCTATATTTATTGCAATACATGAATCTAAGAAATACTGTTGAATAATCGGTTGGATTTTTGGCCAAGCGATGGCTCTCCCTTACTCTCTCACTCTCTTTTTCTCTCTTCAACTTTTTCGCTCTCCTTTGCTTCCTATTCCGCTGTCTCCCTCCAAATGTTGCTATGTTCATTCCCTGTGTGCATTTTACAACCATTTTCGTTGCATGCCAGTCCAATTTACAAATTAAGTTGCATGCAAGACGCGTTCTAAGCCCAAGAGAAGCGATTTCCCGTAGCCGATTACAATTGGCGAAACGATTGCATCTTCGATGAATTGTTGCGATTCCATTATTAGGAATCGAGACCAGAAAGCCGAGCAAAGGGAAAAAAGCCATCGACGATGGCCCATCGTTCGATTAAAATAAATGTGCAAAAAATGGTTTTATCGTTACTCACGAAGATGAGGATGTAATGTGAACCAAAAATATGTGTGTATGGAATATTGAATATGTGTGGATAATTTTTCGTGGTCTAGTTATGAAATAGATGTTCATTAGATGAGCGACTCAGGATATATATCGAGGGAATAAATTCGTTGGGCGAAAATTCGTGCCGAGAAATATAAATTTTGTCTTGTTGTTGATAAGGTCAATTTGAGCGAACGACTTGTTTAAATGCATTAACGATGAACTGATACGGTTTTTTTTGCGTTGTCTGTCGAAGACGAACGAATGAATGAAGAAAAAAAAAACAACAAATTACATGAAAAAATGTCATAGAATACGACGACTCTTCTTCAGTCATTTTTTTTTCATAGTTTACACGATCATAATTACATTGCAGGAAACGATGGCAATGACATCGTGTAGCATTATTGCTCAGAGGCTACATGATCCCGAAACGAACGAAGCCAACGACCAAATCATATCAATTGAAATAACAATACACAGAGTGAGAGAGACTGACAGAGGGGGAGAAAATCGAAAATCGAGAATCGGTTCTTCTAAAACACTCTATCGATATTAGATGGTCGGGCCGTTCGGTTCGTGACTCATGACGATCAATAAATGTATATACAGGTTTCTTTTAGCTATTTCTCTCATTTTATCTTCTCTCTAATTGTAAAAGCAACGAGTTTGGTATGCAATATTGCTTTTCGTCGGTCTTAGAATTTTTGAGAAGTGCTTCGGTGCCATCACACGATGGATTTCGCAATGATATTTCGAATTTAATGCTTTTTGACGTATGGTGTACGGTTGTGCACTTATCCGTATTCAATCGCCCTTTGTCTCTCACACACTATCGCTTTCTCGTTTTGTCTTTCTCTCTCTCTCTCTCTCTCTCTCTCTCTCTCTCTATCTCTCTCTCTCTCTCTCTCTCTCTCTCTATCTCTCTCTCTCTCTCTATCTCTCTCTCTCTATCTCTTCATCTCACTCTGGCTCTTGCTCTCTCGCTCTCTGTGTGTCTCTCGCCAAGAGACTCTCGCTCAATGTGTTTGCCTATTTCGTTGCTCTGAAGAGTAAATCAACCTCTATCATTGGCCATTTCTTCTGTAATCAATTAATCAATCACAAATTATACTCTGTTTTGCCTCAACCGAAAAGCACCAACAACACCAACCACAACTACGACTTCGTTCATTCGTTTTTCAATTGGATTTTGGCCGCTAGCGCTTCTTTTTTTTTCTCTTCGTCCCAACGCCGTCATCGTCGTCGCCGCCAGAACACGCTCATTTTTTTTTGTAATAGACATTCTTGGGCTGTTAACCTAGCGGGGCCACGAAGATAATATCATTCACCATTATAACGGCTGCAATCACATTTTTAATTTCGATGTTGTTGCCGTTGTTATTCTGGCTAATCATTGCCGTTCTGCTCTTCAGCTCGGCTGTTGCATAATCACAATCTTCTTTATGTAACGAATCATTCAAGATTTTTCGATCGATTCGACATGCAATTTCCCAGATCCAATTAGCTAATACGTTTCTTTTGGTTGCTGTGTAACATTTCAGAATATTCTATAAAGCAACTATTTCTTGGTCTCACTCTCTCAATGTCTCTCTCTCTCTCTCTCCATTTTATGCTCTTCACCTTAGTCTCTCACTCTTGCATTTTGTCTTTCTTTGCATTTCAAATCGCATTTATCCAAAATCATCTTAATTTGCTCGAACTCCGACACAGTTTAACATATGATTTTCATTGGCTCTTTTATAACTCTTTGCATTTACAACAGATCAGATGAACAACCGTTTTGATTGAACCACAATCACAATTTCAAATCATCAAACAACAATTTGTTTTTACGATTCTTTCCATTTGAGCGTGGTGCACATCGAATTTTATTTCGCATTTCAAACGCTTGTCATTTAGACCATTGCACAGATATTATCATCGCCTATGGGTTGATGCCAACAAAAGCTAACCTTTTTATTCGAATGCAGTACCCATAGTTTTACTACTTACTCCGTGTATGGTGGAAACAACAAATTGAGACATCATTCATGCCACTTTGTTTGAGACAGTCGATGCAGGTTTGAAAAATCAACCAACAATGTCGTTCACAGTGGATTTTTTGGGAGAAAAATGAAGGAATTTTGAATTTGGTACAGTTTTTATCATGAATGAAAACATGCACAAGTGCCATAAAATCGTTCTAATTACTATTATTTTGTAAAAGGAACTACTTATTGATTTTACAAATCAGAACCATTCGGTTCCATCGCTATTTCAATTTGCCAAATTCAGCTTTGCCGAATACTCAGAGCAAATACACAACTGAAAATTCCAAAACGCATCGCATCGAGTAAATGTCAATTTTTTTCTTTCCTTCCAAACTATTTTGAAGCGACAAAGGAGAGGAAAAATTGGCATCTATCTACTGCCGGGATTCGATCCACGGACCTTTTGATTGCCGGTCAGATGCTCCACCCGTTGAGCTACAGCGGTCCCCAAAGTAAGCGTTATTTCATTCTCAGTTGGGTGCGAACATGCCTTGTAAGGTTAAATCATGAATGAAAACATGCACCGTTTTTATACTGATCAAGATTAACTGACAATGTTGCGAATAACTTGCCATGTATCAATATAATATGCACAATTTGGAAATGATATTAATGAACAATTTCGGGGTTGATTCGAATGCTTTTACAATTCTTGAACTGGAATATTAATTTTCATCATAATGAATGTTATGAATAACAATGTTTTTATTCATTGATGAAACGGGTGTTGAGCTTTTTTTTTGGTTGCCCGTGTGGAAATATTCGGACTGAATAAAAAATCGATTATTTTGAGTCATCGTCGATTGGCTAAAAGTGATTATCCAGTACAAAAACAGTGATCACTGTTAACTGCAATCACAAGTTAACTGCATTCAAATATGCCCCAAATTAATTAATTTCGCTTAAGCAACTGGCAAAATTTCCATTGCAGTCGACTATTTTTCATACAAAACATCTGCTCAGTTAACTAAAGGTAGTAAAAGTAGATTGCAGTTACAGTCAGCCAGTCATTTCTTCTCCACACTGAAGTTCGTATTTGAAAAAAAAATGCACTTCTTCGCCTTTTTTCATTCGTGTTATTTCAAGCGTCATTGTCGATAGCGCTGCGTTTGTTTCGGTTAGAGAAATAGGTAAATTCAAACGGCTTGGCAAGCTTTTTGCTGAATAAAGTTTAGCAACAGCCCTCTGGTGGTGACTAGTCAAAGTGCACATGACATTCGTGACATATGTTGAACGAACAATTGCAATGTGTTGTGAAAGACGGCTGCTGTAGTCTGTGTAAACGAGTAATCACTGGGTAAAACGTATAAACAACGTAGAAAAAAGTAAGCGAAAAAATTCAGAGTTTATCCAAAGAAAATGCATAGATTTGTCAGAGAAAGAGGTGAAGAAACGGTGGTTGAAAAGCAGCGAAAGGATCGAATTGCGATTGAAAACGGGAGCGGTGCACGTGAAACGTACGAAAATGTTTTGCAAATGCCATCAACATCAAAAACAACACGTGAGAGTGCCTCAAAAGACAGAATTAGACGAAGAGTGAAAAGAGAGTCGTTGGCATTTGATAAAAATCAATTATTTCTGGCTGCAACAAGCAATGATGTTTCGACCATTGAGCGAATGACGCTCAATAATCGGACTGTGAATGTGACAGATCAATTTGGTTGGACGGCATTGATGATGGCAGCATGCGATGGACACTTAGCAACAGTCAAAGTTCTATTTAATCGTGGCGCTAAAATTGATATTGTAAATAAACAACTGGAAACGGCTTTGGATTTGGCCGAAAAGAAAAACCATCAATCAGTTGTGAACTTTTTGAATGGAACACAGTGTGAAACGATTTGCTTGAGCAGTGACGATGAAGAAGCAACGATTGGAGATGCGATAACCCCAAAAGGAGTCGAAAATGCCAGCGGTGCACGAAAAACAATGGAGTCATTTTTCTGTGATATTTGCCAGGCAGAATTTTCACAAACCGACCGAAAGTCACATGCAGCATCAACGTTGCATCGATTCAATCGAACCGACTCACAAAAGCCACCACGTCACTTTGGCATTCCCGAAACAAATGTCGGTTTTCAAATGCTTCTGCAACAAGGATGGGACCGTAAAAGTGGACTGGGCGCTGAACGGGATGGTGTAATATATCCAATTAAGACAACACTGCGAAAGCCACGCTCCGGTCTCGGTACACAACAACCAAACAAACCAAAAGTCACACATTTTAAACCGTTCGATTCGGATGCCATCAAACCAACCAAACCACCATCAAATCGAACGGTCAGCACCAAACGACAAATGCGGGCACAAGAAATGAAAGATAAACGCAAAGATCGACGATTAAGGAAACTTCTTTCATGACAATTGAACGTTATTATCATGGAAATTATGACATTTCTTTGTTGAAAAAAATTCATATTGAAAAAAAAAAAATATTAGAAAAACACTTTTGAAAACATCAGTCGAACATCTCTTGTTCGATCACAAAAGGATCGAAATTTGAAATATTTTTTTTGTCCTGAAAAAAAAGAAGGAGATCGAAAATTGATTCGAATTTTTGTTTCTCCTGCAGACACATTTTCGTAAACGACTGTGATTTCTGCGCTAAGGCAACAAACGCAAAATGAACCAAGCCAGCCGCAAAGTGTTGGAAATTCTGAAAGATTCAGAACGTATTGCCGATCAAGTGCTACAAAATAAACAGGAAATTGTTCAATTGGACAAACGACGGCAAGAAACCCGTGAAGCCATCCGAGATCTGGGCAAAGATGATGAGAGAAAAGTTTGGATCACCATCGGACCGATTTTAGTCAAAATGGAAAAAGCAAAAGCATTCGAACTGATGAAGAAAGGTGAGCACTGGCTATGAACAATTTTCTCTTTTGTAAAGTTCAAAGTGACCCAGATTTATGAGGAAATTTATGGCATTTTTTTGGAAAAAAAAATTCTGATAAAATATTTATCTAAATTCAATTTTCTCCAAAAAAAAAGTTGAGAAAAAAATGGTCAAAATCCCAAAGAACATTTAAACTGATACAACCAAATTGTTTGCTGTCAAATCCTGTCTCGCTCACACCAACCGTCACACTGACTCGTTCGTGGACGAATTGCTGTTAGCGTAAAAGAGATGTTGTTCACAGTAAACTCAGTTTAGATGTTCTTTGACGACAGAAAAATGAGAAAATGTTCAAAACCTGATACAAATGCTTGATAAATTAAATGATTTCAACATTCTTTTTTCTTTTCCTGAAACAGATCAACAAACGATTAACGTGGAGATAAACAAGTTGCGAAGTGAACAAAAGGAATTGATGTCCAAATTGCGACAGGTTGAATGCCAGGCTCCGATTGTTGGTTTCGATCTTAAGCCATTAGATCGCAAAGAAGTGAACGCGCTCAGTTCCAATCTCCCTGGATTTTAAAATACTCACACACAAAAAAAAAAACAAATTACCTCGTTCAATGAGATTTTCTGGGAAAATCCACACGATTCACTTAAATTAAGCAAAAAATGAATAAAAATGAAGAAAAGAAATTAAGTAAACATTTGAAAGTTGAATAAAAAGATGAAGATCGAAAAGAAAAATTATATTTAAATAATGACAACAATTGAATTAGTTTTATTTGAGCCAGATTTGATTGCATATAAAAAATATATGTTTCAATGAGTATTTTAATTAAGCATTTTTGCATACTGATATAAAAATATTCATATAAAAAATAAAATTCGAATGAAAAATAGAATTACGTATAGAAAAATCTATAAAATTTCAAAAAAAATGTACATTTTCGTTGTCTTGTATAAGGCTTGTATAAAGCCAAAATTTGTCAAATCAACTTGTTCATAGAGATTCCAGAAGGCAGTTTGAAAAGACGTTTCGTAGCGACTAGAGTCTTCTAATCAGTTCAGTTAATGTTTTCATAAACTTTTCGGAGGGCCATAATTTTTATCAACATATTCCAAACAGTATTTGTTAATGATATGCTCTACATCTATTGGTTTGTGACAAGTACAATTACGCAAATCTGGAATATCAGCCATGTGATCAGCACGTTGAAGCGATGTTGTCAATAAGGTTACATACATATGCTCTTTGCATCGTTCAATGTATCTGGCAAAGTATTTGAATAACCGAATAGCATTTACTACATCTGCTGCGGCGTATTTGATTTGCGTCTCACTTAACATCTCTGCTTCCCAATCGCTAAATTTCGAAGACTTATCGAGTGAAACACCCAAATAATCTTCCGACATCTTTGCTAATCCTCCGGGAGGAAGGCCAGCTGCATGGGCCATATAGCGTAAGTCAAGTGTGCTTCTAACATGAACACCGTAATCATCACGTAAAAATTTTGCATCAGTGAATGGAGCCACGCCGATCTTCACAATGTCACTGTCTTCCATTATTTCCTACAAAAGTGTTCAAAGGCAAAAACAATAAGGGTATTCTCAACGAAATTTCGATTTTGATTTTACAAATGTTCAAAGATATTTAATTTTGACATTAAAAATGGTCGCCCAAATATGCTTTTATGTTTACCTTTAGCTCCCGATAAATGTCATCCTTGTTCAATTTACACAATCGAATGAGAATGCAACCACCGCTTTGCGAATTGTTTAATGTGGCCAATTGTAGTAGAGCAACCCGTTCACGACCGTAGCCCGACGAATTCCATTCACAATCAATAGCAAGCACATTTTCCTGTCGTGCATTCAACTTTCTAATTCAAAAGAATAAAAGAAAACTTGTAGAACAAATATATATGGAGCATCACTAAGGAGACTATTGCCCCTTGTGATAGGAGAGAGAGAGAGAGTATACCGTTTGAGCCATTGTATCAAATACCGACATCTTTCGATTTTACTTCCAACATAAATTGGCTGATGATCATAGTTATACGCTTTCACATCATTCAAATTTGTTATTCTCCGTTGCTCATATGGATTAAAAGATTCTGGTTGATATGATGGTTCATGATATTGATGTTGTAGTGTGTTGGAGCCAAATAATAGATTATACAGATATCGTAACATCTCATAGACAAGATTAACAATTCCAAAAAGTATTAAAAATTTAATGTATATAACTATCCAGGGCGTTATCCACTCCCACACTAATGTTATATATAGTTGATAAATTTAAAAGAAATGTTTACGAGGCAAAACTTAATTGTCCATGTTCTTCTAATGAATTTTAAAAAGTCTATTTATATTTTGTGTCCGTGAAATAAATTGCTGCAAACTCTAAAAATAAACGTCATCAGTTCACCACATTGACATTCAAAACAAATTACCGACCAAATCTCACTGACATACTGTATAATGTGAACGGTGCTTCATACCAAAACTGTATTGCTGAAGTGACTCAAATGTATTTTAGTCAAGTATTACTTTTTTTTTTGTTCGTACACAAAACTCACTGTGGGTTCATTAGAATGCAGTAGTAAAGAAAAAGGCAGCCACACATGCATATTTGCATAGTTCAGATCAAGTGATTTCAAATTGTGTGAGACAAAGTGATGAGAAAAGAATGCCATGGAAAAGTAAAATTGGACTAAAAATCAATGGAAACAATCAAAATAAAAATGGATACTTAAAACAAAGAAGTGCAACGTAGTTGGAAGTTGAAATATATTCGAAGACAAGAAGAAGAAAAAAAACCTATTCATCAAATTGAGACATTGACATCATCATCCGAACAAATTGCGGAATAGACAGAAGAATTTTGTTTTTTTCTCATTTAAAAATCGAAACAGTGATTCCAGTGATTTTGTGTGTGTAAACAGTATTTTGTTCAGTCGTTTTGTTTACTTTGCCATTCATTTTGGGTGAGAGTGAGAGAGAGAGAGAGAGAGAGAGAGAGAGAGAGCTGTGTTTGTGTCGTGGATTGCGTGCTATTGTGTTTATTAAACGCGTCGCAATTCCGTGGACAATTGAAGCAAATACGCGTATACAACGAACTAAAAACCATCGAAACGAAGAGGGAATTCTTTGTGAAAAAACACCTAACCTAGAAAAAAGCCTAGATTTTTGTTGAATAAAATACCTTAATTTGTCATCGACATACAAAGAGCGTGTGTGCGTGTGCGATAAAAATCGAATCTCAACGACAGCAACGGAAGGGAAAAAAACAACAAAAATGACATTGAAAATTGTTTACGGAACAATTGTACTGTGTGCGGTATGGAGCACAATCGCGCTAGCCGAACAATCCAAAGTAATCGATTTGAATGAGGAAAATTGGCGTTCAATTCTCGACAAAGAGTGGATGATTGAATTTTATGCGCCATGGTGTCCGGCATGTAAAAATTTAGCGCCTGCCTGGCGTAAATTGGGCGAATGGTCAAATGATATTGATATACGAACGGCACAAATTGATGTGACCACATCGCCGGCGCTGAGTGGGCGTTTCCTAGTTGCTGCTCTGCCAACCATATTCCATGTGATTAACGGTGAATTTCGACAATACCGTGGTCCAGGTGACGCTGACTCATTCATCACATTCATCGAAGAACGGAAATGGAAGGACATTGACCCGGTTTCAGCGTGGAAACATCCAGACTCCGTTCAAATGACAATTATGTCATACTTTTTCAAATTGTCACACTACCTGAAAGAGGTGAACAATGTGATGCTCATCGATTATGGAATGCCACCATGGTTGACATACGTTCTGTTTGCCATTGTTACGATTTTGTTGGGCGCATTGTTGGGCTTGATTTTAGTATCGATTATCGACTTGATTTTCCCATCGCAAAGTAGTCGACAAAGTTTTGCACAAGGTCAAGCACCATCAACCGATGAAGATGCACGCGATGTAATCGAAGATGATGATGCAACATCGGCCGCGGTTGCAGCCAACGATGATGATGATGACGACGATGAAGAAGAAGATGAAGCACCATCCACGTCGGAAGGTGAAAAATTCTCCGGAAGCGAATCCGATGCATCGAACGAAGATGATAAGGATGTTCAACAAACCGATGTGAAAAAATCACCAAATAGCGAACCTGAAGTTCGAAAACGTAAACCACGAAAAGCCGATTAGAAACAAATGAAAAACATCACACAGAGAGGTAGAGAACAACAACCAAAAGCGAGCTCTACATCCTAGAACCATCACACAAATTGTATGGTTTCCCTAGATTAAGCCAACAACATCATACTTCTTTTTTCTGTTTTTTTTTTTCGGGAACAGCATTTTAAAAAAACCAATGAAGAATAACTTTTTCTGCTTTACTTGAAAAGTCATTGAAACATCGTATTGACCTAAGCTAATTAGTTCATGACAAAGAAAAAAAAAACACATGTCATAATCACTAACATCTAAAGATCTAACATCATTAAAATCAAGCAATCACATTGAATATCTACAAGATATTGAGGTCTAACACACACTTGGCCCCAGGCACATACAACACAGTAATATATTTATTTTCTAAGAGAACCGAAATTTCATTTTCACTTACAAAATATTTTTCTTTTTGTTCCTTTCTTTCGGTAAAAAAACATATATATATTGTTAACGATACAATTTAAAAAAAAAAAACAAATGTATAAGTGTTTGGTTTGCATTTTTCTCTTCAATATTATTATTATCACCAATTTAACAATGCATTTTATAAATAATAATTTTTGCCTACTTATTTTTCGATGTTGTAGTTGTTATTTCCCGATTATGAAATGAAAAAAAAAACGAATTTTATTTAAACAAACACAGTTTGCGATTAATGTTTCCGGTTTGTTTGAACGCAAAATTCAATTGCGAAACCATTTTGAATGAACGCTTTATTATATCGTACCAATCACATCATTTTTCTGGAGGAAAAAACACACACACTAAAACAACAAAAACAATACGAATAAACAAACTGAATTGTGCCGTTAAAATGTTCAATATTTAATTGCATTTAAATTTGTATTTAAAATTTAAGAAAGAAAATTACAAGAAAAATAATAAATAAATGCTCCGAAAAAAATTATTATAGCCCCCAATTGGGAATGCGATCAATTTGTCATGTGAATATAGTTGAACTTGACCTTAACTTCTTTTTGATTTTTTTTTCCTTGATTATCAATAGCTTAACTTCCAAGCTATGACTGAAGACTCTCAAGAATGAAAATCTCATTATGGATGATTGAATTATGGATACCTTTGATGATTAACGCTTGCCTGAGACTTGATTTTGACGCTGTTTTACTCTTCCGCTTTTCAGAATCGAGTGAATTTGATCTAGTATTGAATTTGACCAAAGGGAGAGTGGGAGATGGAAAGAGTGAAAGAAGAAATCCTATGATTGATAGCATCAAACATCGATGCCCATTTCAACCTGAGGTAACTTATCAAGCACAAAAAGAATTTATAAATCGAATCAGTCAAAGAAATAAAAGGCAAGTGTTATCATACTCTATCATGAAGAACTGACATCGAAATTAACTTACTGATATGGAAATCATTTTCTCAGCTGTGAAATAAAACTCTTGCGATTTTTGTTTTTTCATACAACATTTTTGTCACATTATCAATATCTATTTTTATGGTGCAGATCAGCGGCGTAGCCGGGAGGGGGGGTTCAACCCCCCCCCCGAAATCCGGAAAGGGAAAAAATATTATAGATCGAAGAAAAACTGCATTCAAGGCTACAAGTTATCAAAAAAAATTCCGGCACTGTAACAACTTTCGCAAAATATATTACTGTGGCTCCATTTGCCTTAAAGTTTAATATGATTTTGATTTAATTTTATACATAAATTTTATGTTTAACCTTTTTTATAAAATTAGTTCGATATTCGCAAATCAGTTACTTGTGTAGTTGAATATGAAAATACCGAACACATTCAATAAATTGCAATAATCTTGTAAAAAAAATTAGATGCTATTCCCTCTCGACCATTCCACACGAAATCAATCAAAATTCACATCGAGGTTCTCAGAATCGGCTGAAATTTTGCACGGAATTTGGGTTTGGGCAAAAACCCAGAAAGCCAAAATATTTCCCCCGGGTCTGCCTCTGGAGACCCTGTATGGATAGTGCAAAAATCGAAATTTCGCAAATTTTCGAATTTTTGGACCATTGATAAAAAATTTCAACGCGATCATATCTGAATGAAATTTTCACACAAGTTAGGGTTTGAA